ATGCATGATATTTGTCTGCAAAACTTTCAACCATGTTCAAGCAAACTCTCCTGATTCATGTGTTTTATTTAGTAAATTTAGAATGAAGGATAACAAAACCTAAAACTGCAGACCAAAAACTCCAACAAAAAGCTTCTCATAGTGTTATCATCCTCATACAACTATCTATATAATACCTTCCTTTTCATACCTAACAAGATTTATACCATGAAAACTACAACTATACCTGTTGGTCCAGTATACAATGCAAGCTGCCTGCCCCAAATGCAAGCAAATTCATCGTTAGAGCTGTGGATAGAATAAGAAAAACAAGCAAATATCCAATTTTGTTGGACAAGTCAACACTTACTCTGTAGCATAACCCAAGCGTTCTGCCAAAGGAGTAATACCCAGTAAGCTGAAAAAGAACACCCATCCCTAACAAATATGAGGTAACCATTAATAAACTAAAAACTTAGAGGCAACCATGAACTAACAATTGTTAGACGTCCAAGGGTTATAAACTTTGAGAAGGTTTCAAATCCAACCATTTGATAATATCCGGCTGTTATTATCAACATGCATATCACAAGGTTGTCGTTTCCTAGTCCAAAACAAAATCCAAAAGAACCTAAGAAGGAAGTTCTCTGTGATGAAGAGATTGCTATTATAAAAATTCTAACCTGGTTTCCTATTTCTTACACATTTTTATCTTATTCAAAGTTTGAAAGCCAATGGCAACTGGATGACCAAGAAGCAGATTCATACATGCTTTTGTGTCACATAATGTAGCAATATCGCCAAGGGACCAAAAGGTAGCAACATGTTGATCTTTGCTTTAATTAAGACATTATACATGCTCCTGATAGGCCGGATCTGTGTCCGCTTAAAGAAGGATGAGCTGGCCAAATTTACAGGAGAAAGTACATTTGCTGTCTCAAAATCAAAAGTATGGACTTTTGTTGTAGATGGTGAAGGTCTAAAAGCAATCTCCTCATCCGAGTCAAGGTCTATTTTATCCTCTGCAGAACCCATCTGCATCCAGAGATAACAAATATGCCAATTTTTCAGCCGAGGGAGATGTTGATCATTACCAGACACGGACAAACCAAGAATAAGGCCACCTCACAAGCTCATAACATGATCTAAAAGAAGTGCTGTACAAATTAATATAAATGCAGGAACTCAAGGAGTATATTTATTAGCAATTTGCCACACAAGAAATTAAAAAATGTATTCCTCAAATGTAGATTACTGCACTCCATTATCCTTAAGAATACTTGGCAGCTATTATGTCAACCGTTTCACGAAGCAATATATATGGAAATATGTGGCCTGCAACCAGCCCCACTTGTTCAAAGCTTCATGTCACTATTTTGGCTCGTTATAGCATTTGATTTGCACCTAACCCCAATAGGGATGTGTTTGCATCGCCAATATTAACAAGAAGATCAGTAAAAATAAGCCAGGGGCAAGTCTAAAAGGCATCAGCTTTGAGCACAATCCAAATGATACGGTCGAGGTGAACCACAAATTAGTAGTATTGCATCGTAATTGTCGTAAAGCAGATCAGTTGACAAGTTACAACTCACAAGCAAGTAGAAAGTGGCAGCAATCACGAAGCCCACCAAATAACCAGATCAATCGCAAAAGATAGAAGATAAAGAGAATTGCCTGAGAAAGACACTGGATTTGAATTGAAGAGTACTAAGATCTCCAAGATGGATCCAGCTCGGCTAAAAATCAAACAGCAAAATCAAAGAAAAAGAAGAGACCCAAACTGGTGGGATCCACACAAAGAGTGTCTATATCTTCTTGGACTTCTTGGCAGCTATATGGTCTATGTGGGGCAGTGAATCAGGAAGACCCCCGGGGTTGGGGGGGGGGGGGGGGTGTTCAAGCTAAGCCGAATAAGAAGAAGAAGAAGAAAAGAAAAGAGGAGGCGAGGGCAATATTCATATGTGGCGTAGATGCCGGCAAATGGAAGAGAAGTGACACAAGAAGTCGAAGGTTCGACGAAAGAGCGTCTGAGGCACTTGAAGTAGTAGGATTTTCAATTTCTTACTTTTTATGGATTTTTCTATTGCAATGTATTTATGCTTTTGCTTCTGAATGAATATACTCTCCATTTTTATACATTCATGATTCCTCTTAATTCATTGATGATGATTACACGAAAAGATGATATTGTCTCCATTAGAGAATTGCAATTAGATTTCGTCCAATACTTTAGACCATCTTGACCTATAAATATCACTTGACCTTTTGTTTTTTATTTTTCGGCAACTAGCTTGTATGGCGCTTGACCCTGTTCAAGGTTTTAATTCTTTTACTAGTACAAAAAAAAAATGACAAAAATCGAATTATTCATTTAAAAATGTAATCTGCATTATATAAAAAATGTATAAATTAATATTTATGATTTTTAAAATTAATCTAATTACTGCATTTACTACTTTCTGTTTAGTTTAGCATTAAAATTTTTAAAATAAAATTAACGAAAATTTATTTGAGTGAAGAGGACTTGATTCCACTACAATAAGACTGAGACTTAGAATGTAACATTTCAAAAATTTAAATTAACACATTAAAATGAATTAAAAAATGATTAGAATTAGTGTGGGATTAAATTTTGAAAAATTTATTTTAAGTCATAGTTTTTTTAAAAAAATGAAATAAATGAAATTAGGAAGAATTAAATTAAATTATTTAAAATATTGTTACAACTTAACTTGTTATAAATATTTTAATATAATTAAAAATTTATTTGAATAAAAATATATAAACTTAGTTTAACACTTTGAATTTTAGAAGAAAATAATCAATATTAATAAACATATAAATCAAACATATTTCCTCTATTAAAAATATAAGATATTTTTTGAGGAGTTTAGTATTAAAAAATATAAAATATTTTTATTTTTTTGAGATATAAAGTATTTTTATTTTTTTGAGATATAATTATTATTTTTTTAAGTATTTTTATTGATAATAACTTTATATTATTATAAGATATTTAATAAAAATAAATATAAAAAATAAAATTAATTTTAAAAAATATATAATTATTTTATTGAAATGAGATTTGATTAAAAATGACGAAGGATATAACAAAGGAATAATAAAATAAAATAATATATATACACGCGGAAGGCCGGGTTGCGAACCGTTGGGAGGGGATATATATTTGTTAAAAAAAATGAAAAATGAATAGGAGAAGATATGGGACCCGCACCATTAATTTTAAAATCTACCAAGGGGAGCAATTACTTCTGCATTCCAGTATGCCCACGAAAGAGGAAGAGACCAGCGTCGGTGGGCAACTTTTTAAAAGCTTAGTACCTGTTTGAAAACCTACTTTGATAACAGTTGTTTATTTTTTATAATAAAAGCATAAAAAATTTATTTAGTAATGTATTTTTAAAAAGTATTTTAAAAAATAAAAAAATAAAATATTATTTTGAAGAATAAAAAAATAAAAATAAATTTTAAGTATTTTGTGATTATTGTTCTGGAGGACAAGAAAGAATGAGAAAAATATCTATTTTTATTATTTTTTTATTCTCAGAATATGTTCTACAGAACATCAGTTTTTAAAATAATAAATAAAAATAATTTTAAACAACCCCATAAGTTCCAGAAGTGGATTCTCCCTTGCAAAGGTGAGAAATGGAGAGAAACTAGTGCAGATCTGCACCGTCAAATTAAATTTAAAAATTTAGATTTAAAAATTTTTTAAAAATATAAATTTAATTTAAATGGTTTAGATTTGCAATGGAGAGATAGTAGAAAAAAAAAAGTAGTGGAGCGAAACCCATCCCTTAAGTTCTAATATACTTTCTCTAATCCTTATTACATAACAATTTCAATTATTTTATATATTTTAAAAAAGTATTTTTTTAATATTATAAAAAAAGTAAGATGTACCTTTATTTCTATCCTTAATTTTAAGTAGTAATATAACTATATGAAATACTTTCACACTAATTAAGAAGGGATAAAATTAAAAAAATAATTTAATTATCACAATATATTCTATATTTTAATTTTAAAAGGTGTCTTATAAATAAGATTAAAGAGAATATATACTTTAGATATGATTTAGTGATTTTTAAGACTAGATAATTTTTTAAATTTTTTTTGAGTATATTTCTTCACTTTTTTTAAAAAAATTTTGACTATGAAAGATTTAGGATTTCTTATAATTTAAAATTTCTGATATTTTTGAGAATGGGAGAAGTTTTGATTGACATAGATGGATGGAATGGAGTTGTTGTGAATATATCGTTGTTGCTAGGATGGTATGATTTATTTGAGTATTTTATTAAAAAAATTATTTGAACAAACCTTAGGTTGGAAATGAATAATGTGGGAATTGTATTAGTGGTTAGTGGGTTTATTTAGACTCAATAAGGTCTAATAAAGCTAATGAAACTATTTGGTAACAAGGTTATCAAAAAAATAAATTTTAAAATTTTTAAGTAAAAATAAATAGTTAAAAAATAGTGAAATTAATATTGTATTAATATTTTTAAGTCGTCTAACTGTAACTTAAACTCTTGGAGTATTTTGTGATAATTAGAAATTGTGAAGTGCGAGCAGTGAGGAGATTCTCGCACATCCTGTGGTTGATGAGAAAGAAAAACAAAAAATTGCGAAATGTGTGTGATCATTATGAACATGATGTGAAATTTGAAGAGAAATATGCCTATGTGTTTATGTTTACATGATCATTTTTGTTTTTATTTTTTTCACCAACTAGCTTGAGTGCTTGACCTTTTTTTTTTTTTTTAACATAGTGAGGCAAAGCCCAAATAAAATTACACCAAAATTACCTCAAGAAACTTAAGGCCAGTCTACTTTTATACAATAAATTTCGGAAAACTTTTAGGAGATTTACTCAAAACAAAACACTAAAATTTCCTTCCCTATAAATATGTTTCACTCATATATTTCAACCATCATCAATCATATTCTATATTTAATGAAAGATTATATTCTTTACACATAAACCTGACAATAACTGTTGCAACATATTCACAATTGTAGAGTCAGATTCAATTATAACCCTCCACACAAGAGTGCTTGACCCTTTTAAAGTGTTTAATTCTTTTACTTGTACAAAAAAAATTGATTAAATTTGAATTTTTTACTTAAAAATGTATTCTTTGTTATATAAAAATATATAATTTAATATTTATGATTTAAAAGCATATTAATATGAATACTGCATTTACTAATTTTGTTTTGTTTAGCATTAAAATCAACCTTATTATACAAAAGTTGTAAAACACATTTCGTTGGTCAGCTGTAATTTAACAATCCTCTTATTGTTTGCATTTTTTATATGTCTTTCTGCTTATCTCGTTTCTTATGGTTCAACCGATGCACCTTGTTTACCATGGGCTTCCTTCACTTTAGTCAAAATTTCATTAGCTCAAATGAACCCACAAAAAGACAAAGTGTTCTTCATGAGAGGCGGGTTCGATGACAAATAAAGTAGCATATCGCGTAATGGTGGTATTGTATGAGCCATCTTTATAGAGAAGATCATGGGTGGCAAGAGAAATTACAAGAAACTTTGGATTCTCATGATTGAGTGTAAAAAGGTTGGCTTGACTGTTGATAGGAAGCCTTAGGAAAATGAATACATCCTGGACCATGACCATCATAAGGCTAAGCTTAAATAAAAATGCATTATAGCCCAGAGATTAGAAATGGGAAAGGGGCCTCAAGTAACGAGATAGGGACCTTGAGGGTGGGAAAGGAGAGCTCAATCAGGTTATAGATATTAGATACTGATCTCCTTCCAAAACCCTTAGTCAATCCCCTACAGATGGTTTACCTACGTTGCCCATTAAGGTGGAGACTAAAGCCAGTTTCAAATCTTCTTGCAAGACGCATTATTAAAAGGAGAAACCTTTTAGGCTAGGACTAGGTCTTGTACAAAAGTGAGCAGCCATAGATTAGGTGGAGGTGTGGACAAATAGTCTAGGGCAATCAAAAAACACCCAACATTTGTGGCACTACTCGGACAAAGGCTTATTGGAAAGTTGCTACTATCAACAAAAAAAGAAAACTCAAAGTAGAGAGAGTCGAATGGAAAAGGTGCAAAACAAAATGAGAAGCTTACCAAAATGCATTGGAAATTTTTGCTTGTAGCATGACTCCTCCTAAAAAGAAGTAAACTTTCAGAAAAGAACCCCATAAGCAATGTGAAGAGTAGGAAAGCTAAACATTCATAATAATATTCGGGACTGTTACCTAGTCATTCGGCAGAGCCCTCTCGAGATTGTTAGTAGGGGGGGGGGGTGGTGATTAGTGTTGGATGAGGCCATGTTGGTAAGAAACAAAGACAAACTCGAAGAATAAAAGAGCAAGGCAAATGGAACTAGTCAATAGAAGCTTGAAGGGCTAGTAAGTAACAGGGAGTACTAGAGCAAAGTGATGACAATGGCATAAAAGGAGTTTATATTTACAAGGAGACAAATAAATGAAGCGTGAAAGTACAAACTGAATAGACATGCCATGTGGCTTGTGAACACTAGCTACTTGCATGTAAGGGGCATTGTTTAGGCCTGGAAATGTCTAAAATTAAAAAAAAAAGCCCAAAATAAGAGGAAGCGAAGAGTTAGGCATGATAAGACGATCAATGAAAAAAATTATGAATAGACCTTAAGGACTAAGTAAGTGTTGAGTCAAAAGGGAATATAACCTTTAAGACTCAAAGTGACTAAGTTTAGAGGATCATTATTTGGACATGGACCATCACTTAGAGTCTTAGACGTGACTCAAAATTCATGAGATCAAGCCTAATAAAAATGGATATTTTAACACAAAACATTTGGACACTGGGCTCCTAGTTTTACAGACACGATAACCTCGGACGAGCATTATAAATAGAGTTCCATAGAGGACAGAAAGGCAACAAACAACAACACAACCTCTATCACTT